AATGTGTGGCTCCTATTGGATAATAAATAAAGCTATTTTGGCCTCTAGCAAGAAAGCTTATAGCCAGGTGAGAAACCGAAGCAGGGAGACAGAGGGAAGAAGGGTGGATGCGGGGAAGATGCCAGCCCACCTCTGAAGGAGCAACAAGATGCCCGCAGACCAGTAAACGCCACAACCACGTGGCAACATATAGATTAACAGAAATGAGTTGACTCAAGTTATAAAAGCTAGCTAGCGAGAAGCCTGGCCCATAGGCCATACAGTTTGTAAGTAATATTAAGCCTCTGGATATTTATTTTATAAGTGGCTGAGGAATGCAGGACTGCAGACCAGGACCTGAGAAAACTAACAGCTATGTTTGGCGCCCAGGAGAAACTTGCAGCTACGATAAAACAAAAACAAGTAGTAAAAGTTACAAAGTTTCACATGGAAATAAGAATTCTATTAGGATTTGAATTAGAGGCATTCATGTTACATTGTGGCAAGAGATTCCTCTACATTTTATCCACACTGTAAGACTTGTGTGATGCTAAGCTTAAGAATGATACAATAATTAATGTGATAGAGTAAATAACATGGCAATCCAGCATTCATACTGTATCTGTTAGTGCTACTAGACATTTTTAGCAATAGTTACACTAAGAATAAGAAACATAATGCAGAACAGAAATATTTTAAAACATTTGGTCTTGCAAGATAGGGACCAAATTCAAAGTTGTGAACAAGGAAGATGGAGTTGTTAAAGAAATTATGCAATTATAAAGAATATATGAATACTCTGCATTGGGACAATAGGACAATGTCTTGAGGATATCTCAGGAATTGGCTTCATCCCACCCATCTGGGTTCCAGGGTAGAAAAGTGTAGAATCATTTCAAAAGATCCCACTTGAGAAGAGAGCACTACTGGGGATTCACTTGAAAAACACCATTGTGGCACCCTAGTCACTTCTCACACAGAAGTTGTTTTCCCAGGATTCATTTCACCATGCTTAGTTTTCCAGTTACTTAGAGGCTGCCAGTACCATGGTCAAAGGAAACAGCTGGTTCTAGAGCAAAGGGCAGGCCTTGGTGTTGCTCACATGATGCTGGTTTTGTAGGTACACAGAATGGAACAGTCATAGAGTCATTGAGGCTTCCATCAAGTGAGCCTGAGAAGCTAGTCAATATGTGATATGGATGGTATCCATACAGGCAGTGCTTGTGAGCATGACATGTGAAGCTCTAAGAATAAAGCTGAAGATATGGTAGAGAAATACCAGGTACATAAGAACATTTGCCGAGAAGCTGCAGACAGAGAGCACAGCCAGCTCAAGAAAGGAACCATATGGGCCACAGTAAGAGTGGCTGTCCAAGCTTTGGAATTTACATCCTGCCAATGTGCACCCCAATTGCCAGACATGAAGTTATGCATATATAGGGCTTGGTATTTTGCTTGCTATGTTTCTGATTTGCTTTGTTTCTATATCTGCCTTATTTAGGGTTTCTATTACTGTGAAGAGGTATCATGACCACTGCAACTCTTGTAGAGGAAAACATTTAATTGAGGTGGCTTACAGTTCAGAAGTTTAATCCATTATCATCATGGTGGGACATAGTGGCATGCAGACAGACATTATGGTGGAGAAGGAACTGAGAGTTCTACATCTTGATCTGAAGGCAACAGGAAGTGGGCTGAGACATTGGGCATGGCTTGAGCATATATGAGACCTCAAGGCCCACCTCCACAGAGACACACTTTTTCCAACAAGGCCACACCTCCTAGTATTGCCACTCCCTTAGCTGAAGGGGGCCAGTTACATTCAAACCACCACAATACCTCACTTCTGTGCTCCCATTTCTCTTTTGTGGGATAGGAATGCTTAGTCTGTGCCATTGTATCATGAAAGCTAAAAGTTTATTTTGAGCTCTGTAGAGAATTTGGACTTGAACTTTTGAAAAATTCTGTAACTTTTGAGATATTAAGGATTCTTGAAGATAGACTAATTGCATTATATATTATGGGATGGTCATGAATCTTTGAGGCCAGGAGTAGAAAGTTATGGTTTGAGCAGGAAATGTCCTCTACTGGCTTGTGTGTTGAAAACTTGTCAGCTGATGGCAATTGTTGCTAAAGTTTTCCTGCCTGGCCCACAGTCAGGACAAATCTCTCTCACCCGCCAGTCCCAAGCCGCTCAAACCCGATCAAGTAAACACAGAGACTTATATTGGTTACAAACTGTATGGCCGTGGCAGGCTTCTTGTTAACTGTTCTTACAGCTTAAATTAATCCATTTCTATTAATCTATACCTTGCCACGTGGCTTGTGGCTTACCGGTACTTTACATCTTCCTTGTCCTGATGGCGGCTGGCAGCGTCTCCCTCACCCAGTCTTCCACTTCCCACCTCTATTCTCCTCCTTGTCCCGCCTATACTTCCTGCCTGGCCACGGGCCAATCAGTGATTTATTTATTGACCAATCAGCAACACATTTGACATACAGACCATCCCACAGCACCTCCCCTTTTCTTTTCTTAAAATGGAAGGTTTTAACCTTTACACATCTCTAACGTCAGCTTGGTATATTTGGGAATTTGGGCGTAGCTTCTCTTACTACTTCCTGCTGGAGGGGGGCGCTGTATCTTCTGGGGAAACAAAGAAAATTTTAGGATCATGGAGTAGTCCGTGAGGCTGTATCATCTGAGCCAGTTGCCTTGAAACGGTTCTGGATGTTGGATCATCTGGGCCATGGTGTCATCGGAGACCTTTCAGGTGGTCTTGGCTGGTCAAACCTGATGTGTCTTAATCTGGAACAAATCCATAGCCTCTGGCTTTCTGTGGAAACAAAAGAGACTCTTTTCCAAAGCAACATATCCTTACATCCAAATTTTGAAGTCAAAGTATCTTTAAAATATACATACTGGTTTAACTCAGCTTCCTTTACAATCAAATATCTCTCTGTAGTTAAGAATCCCAAAGACAACACAATCCAGACTCTCTGTGTAATAGTCATCTCTACGTGGCTTATTTTTTATATTAATTTTACTGTCTCTTTAAAGACTTTATTTTTTAAAACCATGTATTTGTTTCTATACTGTATATATCACCTTTTTTTGTCTCTTTTAAGCCTACGTATATTTTACACACATTTTAAACTATTACATCTGAATCTGTCTTATTGTGAACCTGTTGCTTTAAATTGCAGCCTTTTAAGCCTGAAACGGCACTGTGGCTGCTGGCTCCGCCCACTTTAGCTTCCCAACATGGCGGTTCCGCCAGCTCTGGGAACCATCAAGTCTCAGAAATAGTGGGTCTACGCTTTTATCAAAGCAGCATGTAGCCCAGAAACCTCTTTTGTTTTGTTTTGTTTTGTTTTGTACTAGCAAAGGCTAAATTCACCACACAGCTTAATGTGCCATTTGTAGAGGCCCCATTCCCGCCATACTGCAGGTCGAGCGCGCACGCCAGCAACCCGCCAGTAGCTCAAACCGGCAGCTGCCGCTCATTTGAGAGAGACAATTAGGAAGCTGTTTTTAGCTCCGTTTTAGAATCTTTTTTCTCAGGTTTTAGGTGGAAACTCTTGCCACCACGTTGGACGCCATTTGTTGCTAAAGTTTTCCTGCCTGGCCCACAGTCAGGACAAATCTCTCTCACCCGCCAGTCCCAAGCCGCTCAAACCCGATCAAGTAAACACAGAGACTTATATTGGTTACAAACTGTATGGCCGTGGCAGGCTTCTTGTTAACTGTTCTTACAGCTTAAATTAATCCATTTCTATTAATCTATACCTTGCCACGTGGCTTGTGGCTTACCGGTACTTTACATCTTCCTTGTCCTGATGGCGGCTGGCAGCGTCTCCCTCACCCAGTCTTCCACTTCCCACCTCTATTCTCCTCCTTGTCCCGCCTATACTTCCTGCCTGGCCACGGGCCAATCAGTGATTTATTTATTGACCAATCAGCAACACATTTGACATACAGACCATCCCACAGCAGGCAATATTTTGTGAGATGATAGAAATGTTATGATTTGGAGCCTAGCTAGAAGTAGATAATTGGGGCATGTTCTTGGGATGATACATTGTGCCCATCCCCTTGCTCTCTTTACCACCCCATTCCTGGCTTCCTTACAGTGGGAAACTTTCCTCTCTCACATTTCACCATGATTCACTCCCCACTCTAAGTCCAAAAACATGAGGCCTGAACTGAAAACTCTGAAACGATGAGTCAAGTACAGGTTTCCTCTTTTAAAACTGTTTCTCTCAGGTATTTCCACAGTACCAAAAGTCTAACACGTGTGGTAAGAATAGATAGCAAGTCACATAGGGCAAATTCTGGTCTGATGCAAAGATCTTGAACACTAGTGTTCAGGGAGAAGGTGAGTGAGGTACAAGGGCTTAGTGATGAAAACCAGGCTACTGCAGTCTAGGGTTTCACCAGTGGGAAGTGCTCCACGGGAAAGAACAGAGAGCATGGAAGCTGGTTAAACAAACATTACCCAAACTTTAACTGTTTCTCAGAAGCTGTTCCTGGAGAGAAGGGTTATGGCCACATGCAATTTTACATTCATCTTACAATCAAATGCTGAGTTTGCTAGGGATGATGAATTACCTCCAATTCTGTCCCCCTCCACTGCAGATCCCCATTACTTGGTAGCTGCTAAGTAAAAGAGTTTGAGATAATAAATGGTCTGCTTTTAGTCTTTGGTGCTTCAAGCACAGTGTGGTGTCTGTGTACAGTGTGGTGTTTGTGCTAGCTGGCAGCACTTTCCTCTTGGGTGGACCATATTAGGACTAGTTCTTTGTCCTGATTGCTACTCAATAGCAGGAATGTTCACTCCTTTGGTACTGAGATATTATAAACATTGAAGATATTCTTTATCAGATCAGGGCAAAATAGTGTTTGCTGCCTAATCATACAAACGAAGATGGAAACAATGAGACATGAAAATGAAAACAAACACGCAGGACAGGAGAGGAGGAGGCAGAACTCGGAATCATTTCAAGAAGGAAGGTCATCTTAGTTCAGTTTTAGACATAGACTTTATTTATAATTCACAAAATTTAGTGTAGAATCCAGTGAATCTGTTTCCCTTACCCCAGCCTGGGCAGCCATTAATCTTCTCTCTTTCCCATATTTTTGTCTTCTCTAGATTTCATATAGAATTCATGTAACATGTAATCTTAAGTTTCAGTTTCTTCAAGAATATTCTTCATGTGTCAAATACAGGCTAGGGACAGTTAAAGATAATATGTCTAGACATCTGAGTGTCCTTCATTTGAATTCATTCTAAGTAAAAACACCCAAAGAAACTCATATTCTATGTGCAAGTTACATTTTTCTAATATGAATTAAAATAATTATTAAAATTAAGAATGTCTCTCTGGATGCCACTAATGTTCATCTCCTACAGCATCCGTGGAAAGCACATCTCATTTGGGAAAATACTGAATTAAAAGATTTTGACATCCTCTAACAATTCTAACAGTCTTATTTTCTCAGCCATTGATTTGGACTATTGACTCTTACGTAACCATCAGCAAAATTTCTAATGATTGACAAGTGAAACCTATACAATATTGCAACATGTGTATGTTTACCTTTCCTGTGAAGATGAACCTAAACATTTTAACTTTGCTATATTTGTTCTCATCATCTTAATTACTTTTCTATTGCTGCAACAAAACACCATGACCAAGGCAATTTATAATAGAAAGCATTTAATTTGGGGGCTCATGGTTCCAGAGGATTAGAGTCCATGACCATCATGACAGGGGCATGGCAGCAGGTAGTAGGGCATGGCAGCTTACATCTGCTCACAAGCATGAGACAAAAAACTAACTGGGAACTGTGTGGTCTTTTGAAACCTCAAAGCTCACCCCCAGTGAGCTACATCTCCTACAATAAGGCTACACCCCCTAATCCTTCCCAAACAGTTCCACTAACTGGGAACCAAGCATTCAAATATACGCACCTATAAGGGCCACTTCCATTGAAACCACAACATTCTACTCTATATTATAATGCAAAAAGCATTAGTTCAACTTCAAAGGTCTCCATAGTCTTTCACAGTCTCAATACAGTCTGAAGTCTCTTTTCAGACTCAGGGCAATCTCTTAATTGTAATCTCCTGTAAAATCAAAACAAAAAGGCAAATTACATACTTCCAACATACAATGGTACAGAATATACACTACCATTCCAAAAAGGAGTAAAGGAGGCCTAGTGAGGAAATACTGGACTTGAGCAACACGGAAACCCAGTGGGGCAAGCTCCAATTCTTGTAGCTTCACCCCTGATGTCAAAGGCCTTAGATGGCTGTTCCCTTCTAGATTTGCTGACTGCAGCACACTTCTCTCTCATGGGCTGTCTCCACGCCCTGTCTACAGCTCTTCTTGGCAGACATCCCACTCCTCCGGCATCTCCAGCATTATGGGGTCTCTAACATAATCCAGGCTTCACTTTCATAGTTTCATGAAATGGCCTCTTTAGGCCTCCATGCAGGGGTGCCTTGGCCACACACTTGACCTCATCAGCTTTCCTTAACCTCAGAGGGAGATCCCCAAACCCCTTTACTCCCATATTCTTCATGATTAAAGCCAGGACCATGTGGCTGATGTTGCCAAATTCCTCTTCCTGCTTGAGATGGAACTTTAACCTCTCCTTGAGTTATATTGGCATGGGTATGGTTTGTTGATGCTTTTTAGAACCAGATAATTCCTTAGACCTTTTCACAAGTTGTAGGATCAGCTGAAGGGGGGGTTCTCTCCCCTAGGGGCACCACTCCATTTATTCCATTTTTCCTGATCTCTTTCAGCATAAACCATGGCTCAAACATTAAATTTCCCGGTGCTCTTTTTCTTTTCAAACCATACCCCCTATCCCCTACGCTCTACCCCTAACCCCTATCCCTAACAGGGTTTACCTGTATAGCCCTGGCTGTCCTAGAACTTACTTTGTAGACCAATCTGACCTCTGCCTCCTGTGTGCTAGGATTAACGACATGTGCCACCAGCCCCAACTTTCAAACTGTATGTTTTGTATCTCTTTTTGTCCCATTTGCTCTTTTTCATTATAGATCTGTATAAGAGTGGTCACTAGTAACCATGCAACAGAGTCAATGTTAAAAACTGTCTTAAAAAATCCTCTGCCAAATAAATTAGTCCAAAACTTTTCAATTTAATGAATTTTACCCAAGGATCTTAGCAATTTAAGTAAGGAAAGGGTCTAAGTTTAACTTTATGAAGCTCTTGTTTTATATCTGCCTCTGTGATAGTTGTGGCTAACTGATGAATCTGGAAGGGATGGGGAGAGAGAGGAGAGCAGCATCATCAGGGTTTGGAGATGAGAGAGATCTACACCTACTTCTCCACTGTTTGTTGTTTTTGTTTGTTTAATGAGATGAAATTACATCAGTTTGAAAATACCTGAAGCAACCTTAAAATACAAAAGTGTATCAGAGGTTGTCTGAAAAACAGGAGGGGCTCCGTATCACCCACTTTGATCATAGCAAGAACCTAATGCCCAATCTGCTGTGCTTAACTAGCTGATCTGTAGGCTGAGAGAATGACCCAGGACTTTGAAAAAGCAGAAGGGACCTATTTGAATCTGGGTATTTATTATCTGTGCTGCAATAATTTATGAAAAAGTTTGTCAGATCTTTTACATGCTACTAAATAAAGGTGCTAACTAAATATTTCTTCCAAATTATCCTTCAGTATATACTACTTCAAAATGAACTTGTTTTTGTATTTGGTGATAATTTCATACCACAGTTCTAAACCCTATTTAATTCAAAACTGGTCTGGTCTAAACATACAGGTGCACAAGAACACACCAAATTCTACCTTTGGCAATGTGGTTCTCTATTGGTGACATGATTCCTGTGTCAGTCAGCTTTCATCGCTTCGACCAAACACTGAGGAAATCTTTGAAGGTTGAGAAGGTTTCTTTAGCTTCAGTTCACAGTTGCCTTGTGCTTGTGGTGGCATGATGCATCTCGCAAAAGAGAAAGAATGAGACAATTCCAATACCTCCCATCCCTCAGTTGTGGAACTGCCTCCAACCAGACCCCAGCTCTTCCAATGCAGCGTTCCCCACTACCGCTCAGAGGCTGGCAGTCAACACTAGCGTACAGGTCTCTGAGGGACATTTAAAATCAAAACCCTAACAACTTCATTGCCATCTTTTCCTCTAAAGACTGCTGTGGGATTGAGCCCACAGTACTTTTACATTTTGAGCTTTTTTTATTTTTATACAAGAAAATTTAAAGACTGCAAATCAAATTTTGCTTTTGAAAAACGCTACCATAAACGAAGCCTTCTTTGTAATCAGAATCCTATTATTTTTCTGCATAAAACAGCCTAGAACAGTGGTCAATTGGAGATGAATGGATTCCAGGAAGCTTCTAACTTGATGAGATCTATAAGGGCCTGTGCCCGTTTATTTATACTAATTTTCTCTTGCTACTTGTATTCTATTAAGAAACAAAACCCAAATCTTAGAATTTTTAAATGCTATTAAACATGCAAATGGAATTTTGTTCTATGCAAAAAAAAATTGCAACTATGTACATGAAAACTGAACAAGGGGATGGTTTCATGGCAGTTGGATGACGTCACTAGACGTCATTTCTCTTATTTGGGAGGTTGCAAGCTTTTTTCCCAGGATTTAACGATTTAAAAAAAAAACAAAAAACAAACAAACAAACAACAACAACAACAAAAACCAGACTTGGCTGGTCGCCTTTTACTTCCCAACAATTTCAGATTCAATTAGGTCTTGTCCCTACATGGTCTGAGAGGGCTGAATTTAACCTTGCCCTTTGGACGCAAACTATTTTCTTCAGGAACAGTCAAATAGCCTTCAAAAAGGATCAAAGAGCTCAGCTACAGACAGAGCAGGAAGGAAAGCGGGTCCACGCAGCATGGGAACTCAAGACCTCACGCAGCTCCTGGGATTGTAAAAGAAAAGCTAGAGGATCACGATCGACAAGAGGGATGGGACCAAAGGTTCCTCCATCCTCCAAGTAGGAGACAAAGGTAACTGAGCGCGTGCGGGGACAGGGAGACGACAGTGGGAGGCTCCTTGGCCCCAGCCGGGTGGCGTGACTCCAACAAGGCTGCCCGGACGAGCGGGGACTGGGCAGGACGAGAGGAAGGTCCGGGCAGGCGGGGCGAAGGCTGGGAACGCCCGGGCCACGCCCCCGGCGCCAGGCCACGCCCCCCGGCGCCCCCGAGCGGGAGCGGAGGCGGGCTCCCAGGTCACGCGCTGGGGTGACCCGCGGCCTGAGGCCCGGGGCGGGCGCCGCTGAGGCAGAGCGCGTGCCTCACGTCCGCCTCGGCCCCGCCCCCGCGTTGCGCACGCGCAGCCGCGCCCCGCCCACCCCGGGGACAAGGGGCGGGGCGCGGAGCCCAGCCGGGGCAGCCGCGGGAGCGCTGGGCTGGGGAGCGCGTGAGCTCCGGCGCCGCGTCACGGACCTGCCCGCCCTCCCGGCCCCTCCCCGCGCTCCGTTCCCGGCTCTCCCGCCCCCCGGCGAGCGAGCGGTGACTTAAGCAACGGAGCGCAGCGAAGCCCATTTTTCTCCTTGCTCGCAGCCGCGCCGGGCAGCTCGTGGCGCGGCGCCTCCGCTCCGGCCCGAGATGAATGCTGCGGCAGAAGCCGAGTTCAACATCCTGCTGGCCACCGACTCGTACAAGGTGGAGCTGCGGTGTGGGCCTCGGGCGGGGGGCGACGGGAGCTAGGGCGGCGGGATGGGGCAGGTGGAGGAGCCGCAGCGCGGCCGCTGAAGGATGGAGGCGCGGGCCGGAGGCGGGGCCTGCGCCGCGGCGGGGGCGCGGCCGGAGGCTCGGCGGGATGGGCGCACGCTGCGGCTGCCGGCGGCCTGGGCGCCCCGGCAGGGTGCACTGGATGGGACCGCCCGACGATCGGGCGGGTTAGGTAACAGCCCCGGGCTGGGCAGGTACATCCCTGCCCAGGGGAGCGCGGGGAGAGGTCCTGGCGGCGTGCCCCGCACCCAGCCAGTGGCCCCAGCGCGGAGGACAAACCCGGCTCGGGGAACCGCGTCTGATTCAGCCTTCCACTCGGCTGGGCTGCATTTCAGACTCCTAGGGATCATGCACGCGCCGGCCCCTGATTGCAGAGGCCAGTGTACGGGCGCTTCAGGGTCATCACAGGATTTCTGTGAAAAGGAAAGTGAAAGGCCGGGCGGTAAAGGAACTTAACCCTAGAGAACTTGTGGGGAGGGAAATGGCCCAGTGCTTCAAGGTGCCTATTGATTGGACTCTTGCGTTAATTCCACTTGAAATGCACCTTAGCAAAGGGAGGAGGAAATGCCCCCACGATTATGTGAAGTGAACCGCACTGATCTTAAGCTAAGTTTCGTTAGCCAAGACACTTAAGGGTACGATGTCAGACTAGTACCCTCACTAGAACATATTAAATTTTAGCTTTCAAGTTTAGTGTTTACTTAAGCATCGAGGTGGTTTTGAGTGTAGTGACTAGGCGTAGTACGCTCGTGGTTTTGTTTTGGCTCCTTGCTTTTTAGTTTTTAACCCTGTAATCCGAGTGTCTCACAGAGTTCTATTTTGCTTATAACTCTAGTTTGTCCATTTCTTTGTAATCTATTGTAAGCAGGTGAGTTTTCATTTTAATAGATACAAGATTTATCAACAGGTGGTCTTTCAAATGGAATTTTTACTTTATTTTATTTTAGTTTTCCGAAACAGGGTTTCTCTGTGTAAGCCCTGGCTGTCTTGGAACTCACTTTGTAGGCCAGGCTGGCCTGGAACTCAGAAATCCACCTGCCTCTGCCTTCTGAGTGCTAGGATTAAAGGCATGCGCCTCTGTGTCCGACTTCAGATGGAATTTTAATGTGGAATTCACCTTTGCAAGATTGTTACAGTTTCTACTGTGGTACTTAAGACTTAAAATTCTCTACTTGATTTAGTTCAGTTGAGGTGTTTTGAACATCCTTGGTGACTTTAGAAAAGTCACATTTGTGGTTTTCTAAAATGTAAGTAAATATCCCAAAGTAATTTTCAAATATTTTACTGTATTATGTATGAAATGACTGAATGTAATGGAAAATATAAACAGATGTTAAGTATAAACTTTTAAAGGGCCAGGCTTGGGAGAGCACATCTTTATTTTAATCCCAATACCCAGAAGCCAGAGAGGCAGGCTTCTTGAGTTCCAGGCTAGCATGCTCTACATAGTGGATAGTGAACAACCAGAGCTATATAGTGTTTCCAAAAAAAAAAAGTCTGTAAGTATCAGTGGTGTAAAACTGCTTTAGTTTTTGGCAGTGTTTGGAGCTGCTTTTCCTTAATGAATAATCTGAAAGCTCTCTAGCTTTCTAGCAAGTCATGCTTATCTGCATGATTATAATTTGCATATAATTTTTATTTCTGCCCATTTTCATTAGACATTTTGTCCTTTATTTTTTGCCTTTTTATCTTAGGTAGAGAGGTAGCAAAACATGCTTAAAACTTGAGATTACAAGTAACGAAAATTCTTTTATTTGGAAATTACATATGATTACATGTTCTTTTTCCGTTCTTAAAAATTCTTGGCTGTTTAGAAGAGAGTGGCTGGATGTTGATGAGATTTCTTCTAAAACTAAAGAGAATAAAAATCATTTCCTAAACTACACAAAGTAGCTGAGGTAGTGGCCAAGCATATAGCAACATGTGGGATACTGAAACAGGGTGTCCTTAAGAAAGGGCAGAACACTTGGGGCCAGTGGAGGAGCATTTGAAACACACTTCCACTTATGTGGTCTCATATTTCATTATGTGTAATAAGGAACTGAGCACACAGGCAGATGCAGCTCTTCAGTCTCATCATGAGTCCTTTTTCCAAATAAAAAGGCCTACTCCTACATCTTTAATCATTTGTATTTTCCGAATAGCTTAAGACACAGTTTCCCACCCAGCTTTAGTGACATTTACTAACCCAGCTAGGGAAGATGGATGTGAGCCGGTCTAGTCATTGCACAGGTTAGGTTGCATTCAGGACTTTCCTGTAAAGGAGGCATGGTTTTTCTTTTTTAGCTTACCTCTGGGATGGTCAGTTTCCAAATAGCTGGGAAGCAGTAAAAGATGCTTTTCTTCTGTCCCACACAGAAATTCCACAAAACTGTACACATCAGCAGAGAACAGTTTTAACATTTTTCAACATTTTATCTCTAGCAGATTAGCAGAAGACATTGTCGTTTGTGCTGTGGCTAGAAAAGACAGGATACACAAAAGTAGTCCTTCAGTGATGTTCAGGTGCCATCATACCACTGAAATGTGTTGCCAGGGTAACTTGCTTCTCAGGGGCCTCCTAGGCCCGCTATCTAGAACTCAGCACTTTTTCAGTCATGCCTTAGTAAATGATGGAGCAACACAGAGGAGAACAACAGTATCTGACAATCCAGGGTGGAGAAAGGTTGATTTTAGAGACCTCAGAGAGCTGCTTAACTTCCTTTCAGTGACGAAGCCGTCAGCTGTTGTGTTCTCCAATGGCTGAGGAACACAGGAAGTTGAACATTATTGCAGAAGAGATTTAGAGAGAGGAGAATCATATGACCAAGTTAGTTCTGCCTGGAACTTACAGTGTTTTCCTCTCACTGGCTCCCGTTTTTTGTAATTGCCTCTCTAGTGCTTCTGAGAGAAGGTTAGGAATGTGGACCCATGGCACCAGAGCTTATCAATGAGCAGGGGTACTGCATTTTTTTCCTGATGTATCCTTAAAGACATATATGTATCAGTCATAGTGACATACCTCTATAATCTTAGCACCGAGAAAGAAGAGGTAGGAGGAGGCCATCCTTGGTTACATAGTAGTCCCTTCAAATAAGTTTTATAAATTCTGGGGGAAACTTGGTCAATAGAAATCAAACAGTAGGGCTGACAACCTCAGTTAAAGATGCTTGCTACCAAGCCTAGCGGCTTGCATCAGCTGGGGAGCCATGTGGTGGAAAGAGAGAAGCAACTCCTGCAAGTATTTATGAAGTAGTAGTTTATGCTTCAGAGCTAAATAGCAACAAGTTATTTTCTGTGGCAGCAAATTCCCAGACCTTCCCACACCGTAAAAACTCCTAAAAAGCAGGAGAACCAGTTAAAAATTTTTCTGTAGTAAGGCAGAGGTCAGCTGGGATGGGGCTAGTGGATCCTTTTCTTATGCTATATGTATTGCACAGATAATGTAACTTATCTGTGGCCTTCAATATGTCATCCCATTGTATTTTAAATCTTGATTCTTAATTATTTATTACCAGTTAAAAATACAAGTGATAACAATTTGGGAGGAAAGATCTTGAGAAGCCATCAGGTCAACCTAATCTGGTGAACACTATACCTAATCCCCCAGGAGGATTCTGCTGACCTTATGTATGCCTCCAGCCCCAGCCCCACTGTTGTAGTAGGACAAGGGTAGACCCTGGAGAATGGAATGTACTGATGCAGTTGTTTGGCTGACACTCCACATTGGAGAAAGTTCACCCTTGTTAAAACGGGGCTAGAACCTTTCTGTTCTAGGCATTGAAAGTTATTGTGTAGCACCTCATCATTTTAGAAGCACTGTAGCAGCTTTTTTTTTCTTTTTATGTGTATGGCTATGTTGTCTCCATGCATGTCTCTGTCCCACATGTGTGCTGGGTGCCTCTGAATTCCCTTGAACTGGAATCACAAGACAGTTGTGAGCTGCCATGTGGGTACTGGGAATCGAACTCCAGTGCTCTTAATCACTGAGCCATCTCTAGTCCCTGAGCTTACCTTTTCTTCAAGAAGGCAAGTGGAATGAAGTTCTGTTAAAAGGCTATTTTCATAGCCTTCTGTGTTCCTCACAGGACTGTGTTAGCCATAGGAGAGCCCTGCCAGTTCAGGGAACAATTGCCTAGGAATGTGAAGAATTGCATATCATTTTCTCTAGCAATAGAAATCAAAGCAGTGCAGAAATTAATAGGATTCAAGAACTTCCCTGTCATACACTTAATTTCAAGCATATGAAACTTATTAGTGTTGCTTAACATTGAAGACTGAGCTCTTGATTTTCCCATTCATTCCTTCCATAGTTGTCATTGACTCAATAAATGGAAGCTTTTTTTTTTGAGGAGGAGCTGAGGTAGGGTTTTCTATGTGCCTCTGTTTGGCCTGGTATTCTCTAAGTTGCCCAGGTTGGCCTTCGGTTCAAGGCAGTCTTCCTGCCTTACCTGAGTGCTGGGGTCACAGGTGTGTGCCACTCACTATCCCTGGCTTAAATTGTACTATTGATAACCCAAAGAGCTCAAGCCAGACTCTAGGAGGTATCTGTATCATCTCATGACATCCAATTCTAATTCTCCTTTAGCTCCAAAAGTATTTGGTAGGTGTCTTCTCACCTGACTTGGTTGTGCACAGTGGCTTCTTAATTCCTGGCTCTGTTCTGAGCACCATAATACATAGTCCCCTATGCCAGATTGATTGATTCATATTATTGTGTGTGTGTGGCACACACTTCAGTCTGAGATTGTGAGGAGGGGCTAGGAGTTGTAGCTCAGTGTTAGAACATGTACTTAACCATATGTAAGAGCTTATATTCAGTCTCCAGCATCAGAAAATACAAATCAGGTTATATTTCCCTCAACTTAAAACGTAATATCTTCCATTGTCCTTAACACACGTTTGTTTGTTTGGTTTTGGTTTGGGTGGTTGTTGTTGTTGTTTTTATCTGTGCCTAACAAGGAGCTGCAGACCTGCAGGACCTAGGCCCTCCAAGTCCATGTCATTCTGGAGGTTTACCCACACACCTTTGCCTGTGGGCAGCAGGAGGGACGCTCCAAGCATGCCTCACTGGGAAGGAAGCACAGAGGACGGTCCTTCAGAAATAGCTGTGGACATACATTTATTTTAGAATGCTAATGCTAAGCTGTAAAGAGTCTGTAGGTAGAGACCAGCTTCACTGAGATTGAGGTTGTGCAGCCAAAGAAACACTGGCTTTTCTAAACTTGAAATCATAGCTTAACGGGAACCATGGTGTGGACCGTGGTCACCCGTGATGCTGGCCCACCGTGGCTGTAATTTACCCTATACCTTAAATTTTAAAGTTCCTTTTTCTGTTCTTACCACTGTGCAGACACACACTACTCCTCTAGTAAACTTACACATCAATGCCTTATTTATACAGTTGCCTTTATGTGGCAAAAACACTACAGTGAAATTGAAAGTCTAGTGAATAAACTTGTTTTTCAAATGGAAGTTGGAAAGTCTTTGACAGTGGCTCTTAGCAAATTCATAGAATAGAAATTGTGATAAAAGGCATTTCTGTTTTTAAACTCATGAGTTTAGAGATCTAGTAGGAACTTACTATTCAATTAGGAGGCAATTTGGAAAATAAAATTGGCTCCGTTTATGTTTTTAATGTTTTACTACATTTTATATTTATGTGTGTAGGGACATGTGTGCGTGGTGCTCATTTAGAAGTCAGAGAATGGCATGGAGGATCTGTTCTCGCCTACCACATGTGTCCAGGGATTGATCTCAGGTCGTCAGGTTTATTAGCAGCAAGCCCCTGGACCTGCTGAGCCATCCCAGCTCCTGAAACAGCGATTGTCTGCTTTTCCTTCTTCGTTGGCCGCTGCTGTTGCTTTCATCCAGGTTTCTGTAGAATACTATGGCTGTCAGGAGCTCCTTCTCAGTGCCTTGGGATTGCATAAAGAAGTGGTTATGAGAAGATGTTGACTATGACCACACTCGGCACATTAGATAGCTGTGGAATAGGATGAGGATTCTTGATCCAAAACTCAGAACTTCTTAAGCATGGATGTCACGGGCAAAATTCCAAACCTGACCTCATAAAACAAGTCACTGTCAAAATCTGGAGGCCAGGAAGATGGCCCAGTCAGTCAAGTGCTCACTGCAGAAGCCGGAGGACCTGAGTTTGATCTGTAGCACCTGACAGGAAAAGCAGCCATGTTGGCAGGTGCTTACAATGCCAGTGCAGCCAAGGCAGAGGCAGGGGACCCCTAGGTTTGCTGGCCAGCTCACCTAGCCAAATTAACGAGCTCCAGATTTGATAAGAGATCCTGTCTCAAAAATAAAATGGAGAGTGACTCAGGAAGACCTGAAATCCACCTCTGGCCTCCATACACATGCATGCACATGCACACACACCACACAAACATACACACAAAAAGGTGAAAGTATTTCCCTCAGGTAGATAGGTCCTATCCCTGAAATACAAGTATAGTCAAGTACCCCAAAATCCCAAATCTGAAGTACCTCCGGTCTCAAACATTTCACAAAAAGCAAAAAAGTGCACACAACCTGTCTGAATCAGCTGCCTTGGCTTGTTTCATATGGTTGTGTACCTCAGACCAAAAAGGGCTGCACCCTAAGACCAAGTGGAGACTTTCCACCCTAAGGCCTTTGAACCCACTTAGTATAACCTCTTCAGTCACTTTTGTTTTGATGGAAAGATAAGGAATTATTAGCAGGATTGTGTTGTGTGCAGCCAGGGTGGGGGGGTTGATCAATAGCAAGAAACAGTCTGATTTGGGATAATTTGAATACTTGTCTACTGTGCTTCCATTATACTCTTAGTATTTCCTAATGAAGGTGTCTTTCTTTGTATAGGTTACTCACTATAAACAATACCCACCCAACACAAGCAAAGTTTATTCCTACTTTGAATGCCGTGAAAAGAAGACAGAAAACTCCAAAGTAAGGAAGGTGAAATACGAGGAAACAGTATTTTATGGGTTGCAGTACATTCTTAATAAGTACTTAAAAGGTATTGCTTTTCCCAGTACATTTAAAACATTGCTTTTATGTGGCTTCATATCTTTTCTGTATTGTTATGTTCTGTTATTTGAAGTAACCTTTTGAGTAGTCTAATTTTGATATTTAATTATATTTGATCACCACTTTAAGAGTTGTTTTGGAAAGTTTTGTTTCATTTTGTTTTGTCTGAGACAAGACCTCACTTTGTAGCCTAGGCTGGCCTTAAACTAGGTGAGTTGCTCAGGCTGTCCTCAAATTCACGGCAGTCTTCTGCCTCAGCCTTCCAAGTGTTTACACTTCTGTGTTAGATGTTTTCAGTTAGAGGTAGGTTTTCTGAAACTGATGAATTTCCAAAGAAAGTTTAGGACAGTCAGTAATATTCAGAGGCCATTCTTGTTTACTGATAGACTTAGTCATTTACTCGGAGCAAGAGATTTATTATTGGTCCTGAAACTCATTTTGAATTATGGTAGATTTAACTAGAATATTTTTATATTGCTTTAGACATACCTTACAGTTTCATTTTTCAAAACTATTTACAATAGTGGGTTTAGTTCTAAGATGAATTTTAAAACAGGAAATCTAATTTTCAGGGGTGGGTTGGTTGGTTGTTGAGGCCATTTAAATAGTATATTTTGTAATGGAGTTGCTAGGCAGGGAGTCAGTTCCAAAGACCTTACACATCTGGACATTTTTTAAACAAAAATAATTTCAGTTGAGTACAGATTAAGTTTAATTTTATGCAAATGATAGTTATTTTAGGGTCAAATAGGTCATACATGCTGCATTACTGAAAACCCAGCCAGGTGTAAAGGTCCTACTGTGTGGAAAGAGACTGCACAGGGTATTTTAAATAAATATACTAATTAATATTGATTTTTTAAGATAGATTGTAAGTTTTTATCCAGTTCTATAACTTTGGAAATTATTATATATAAGTTGTTACCGTGTGTGTGTGTGTGTGTGTGTGTGTGTGTGTGTGTGTGTGTGTGTGTTGCATTGATTGCCTACTTTAGGCTACGGCTTCTTAAACTTTTGCCATTGGGAATCCCTTCTTGACCTGAGGAGTTTTTACACAATTCTGAGTATATAAGTATATAAAATTGATATACAAAGCAAACATTAACTTCATAATACATCTGATGTTATCTTTTATTAAAGACTAAACATTAATATATATATTGCTTATTTTGACAATGATCAGACTGCCCTTTCATATAAATCTGTAGTACAAATGGCAGAAGTGTGTTCAGGGCCATTTCATAATTAATGGGAATTCTGTTCTAATTCAAAGCCAAAATGCATAGACAGTTTTTTATGAAACTCAAATCAGCAACTTAAACAGTTTTTAAAATCAAGCATTGTTAACACAATAGAGTACAAACATACATTTGCTTAAACTACATACTTAGGAGTGACAGAAGGAAAACACTAAAAGTCTGTTTTCTGTGATTAAACCGTTGTGCTTCTATAAGAGCAGAGAATTTTGTACACACAGTAAAAGTACTGCAGTTTGTAACAGACAGTAGTCTTGAAGCTGAGCGGGGTATTTTAGGCAGCATTTGTTGACTTTGCGTCGTGTGACAGCATGCAAAGTGCACATGTGTGTGTTCAGAATCAACTGGATGCTGTTTCATGATCCAGCACAAGTAAACATTGCTGAAAAACTTTGAATTCATTAATGTTTGGTTTTGAATTAACTTGTGACTCTTGTACATTCAGAAGTTTTTACGTTGCCGTAGTTTACAAGACTACTCTAGGCCAGTGTTTCTAAGTAGCTGTGTGTCAGTCTGTCAGTAGGTGCTGTACCCTTGTCCTCACTGCAGAAGAAAAGATGAAGGAATATCTAACAGCACTGCAGATGAGTTTTGTTTGTTTGATGCTGTCTACGCAAGTGACTTTCTGATCTCTACCTGCTTGCTTGTTTTAGTTTTTCAAGACAGTCTCACCATGTAACCCAGACTGGCTTCAGAACTCAGGACCCTCCTGCTTTGACTTCCTGTGTACTTCATTTATGAGTGTGAGCCGCTGTGTTTGACTGCTCCTGTGCTTGTAAAATAATGAACATTCATGCTTAGAATGAGCCCTGGAAGTACACGTTTCTTTTCTGAATCTGCTCTTGACCTGGTGAATCTCGTTCATCCTTCTGTACTTTTCAGTATAAAGGGGGTGAGAGAGCTGAAAACATGGCTGTGGTGACTCAGCAATTCACAGAATGTAAACAAGACATTGCTGTGGTGACTCAGCAATTCACAGAATGTAAACAAGACCTGTGTGTCCTTCCAGGTAAAGTAGTGACCAAAGAGAAAATCCAGGAAGCCAAAGAAGTGTACAAAGAACATTTCCAAGACGATGTCTTTAATGAAAGGGGATGGAACTACATTCTTGAGGTAAAAATGGCTGTCACTTTTTACCTGTTTTGGTTTTTGTTTAATTCAAAATTTCTTGCCATAGAATTTGAATAGAAAATTCAACTAAAGCTTTTTGTTGTTAATCTGAATATAATGGTTATTTTTAGGTATTCTTACAAAAACTAAATAACATTTGGTTTTCCTCTGTAGTGTGAATCACTAAGATAGTTTATAGTAGACCTACGTAATATGCTATGTATGTGATTTAGAATTAAAATAACTCATTTTTTGAAAGATAATTTAATACATTTCTGGAAAATACACCTTAGGAAATGGAGATACACTAATAATTTTTAAAGGATATGGTCACTTGGCAGTTTCAAAAGTTATTTCTAACTTTCTCAAGTGAAAGTAGATGCTATGAGTTCATTACCACATAATTCTGGGAACTTTCTCTCAGCAAATAGAGTAGTTTGGTGTAGCTCCTTAGAGTTGATGCTTGCTTTTCACTTTACCGTGATGTCGTAAGCATCCAGATTACTGGGAATTGAATTACACAGGCAAAAGACATCTAGTGGTTTCTGTATTACTACACTACACTAAGATTGGAATATGTCGTGCATCGTATGAAACCCTCAGTAATTAGAAATACTTGTAACTTTCATGCCTATAGTAAATGAGTCTTATGCCTTGGTAACTGAAAAGGTCAGCTAACCACACTGTGTTGCATGTCTAAAAAGTGTGCAGCCAAACTAACACAGTGCGTTTGCCATCACTCCATTCTGTGAGGTCTGTTGTGAGGACAGTGTCTAAGTCTGTCATTCCTAGTGGTTCTACAGTCAGATATAGGGCTACTAAGTGACTTGCCTAAGGTCTTGCAGATGCTTTTGAGATCAAACCAGGATTTGTAAACCAGCATTCTGCTGCTACATCATGATGCCTCCAGTGTTTTTCATTGCACATAGTTTTCTCTCATTTAAGTGCTGTGTTCTGAATCACATAAACTCCTAGGATTTCCACAACAACTTGCCTTCTAAACATAGGTTAACTGTATAGAGAGAGTGGAGGTGCTGGCCCAGCTACTTTTCTATTGCTGTGCTAGGACACCATGACCAAGGCAACTTAGAGAAGCATTTGTTGGGGCATACAATTTCAAAAGTTGAGTCTATGACCATCATAGCAGGGAACTGATGGAGCAGTGCCTAAGGGCTTATGGTCTTCTCCACAAGGCAGAGAAAAAGCCCACCTCTAGTGATATACCTCCTCCAGTAAGGCCACACCCCCAGTCCTTCCCAAACAGCTCCAACATCTGGGAACCAAGTGCTCAGAGACACGAGGTTATCAGGACAATGACTTAGACTTAGGCATTGGATTTCAGGGTCTTGGTGGGTTTAAAAGTCTACTTGCCAGAAAAAAAGATAAAGCTTACTTAAAATTCTTCTAGTGATTTCCTTTTCTTTATGTGTTCTTTCATGCTAGTCTTTAATCTTCACTCCTTTTTTTTTTTTTTCATGTATGAAAATGACCTGTGTAGAACAAGTTGCTTGTAGGATATTTTTAGCTTATGTCAGAATGAAATTTTTCTCTTTCTGAACAAGTCAGGGAAGTGCCATTTTGATCAGTGTTGATTGTAAGTGGTAGGTGTTCTTAGCAGAAACAGCATGAACTTAAAGAGCTGGATTGGTGCCTAAGTTGTTAATCATTTTAATTCACTTTAGAAGCTGCAGGGTACTCTGACTAACTGGATTATTGCTAATGATTTAACAACATCTATACTTTCTGCAGTGGTAAAAATTTAGCTTCCATAAAATGTAAAAAAACTTCCTGTGACAGACAACTGCATATTGCCTGTTGAATGAGTGAATATTGTTGCCTCCTGCCAGAAATACGATGGTCATCTCCCAATTGAAGTAAAGGCTGTTCCTGAGGGCTCTGTCATCCCCAGAGGGAACGTGCTGTTCACAGTGGAGAACACAGACCCCGAGTGCTACTGGCTTACCAACTGGATTGAGGTGAGTGCGTTTGGCTTTTATTCCAAATCTTACTTTAGTGGTGGTTGGCGATAAAAGACCGTGGAATCCAGTAAGTTTGCTACCAGTGGTAAGCTGTGTAATCTACAACTGACTTCTGTCTCAGCTTCCTCATCAGTGAACTGGTAATTGAACTAAATGATCTTTAAGGTCCTTCTAGTGAAATGTGATTTTAGGAGACTATATAAATCAGATGACTAATGATTGTTACTTAAAGCTCACTTGACATCTGTCCTACAATTCTTTTTCTTTTGTTACTACTGGGACTAGAATCTAGGGCTTAGTTCACACTAAGCAACTCTTCCACTAAACTACACCTATATTTTTTTTTTCCAAAAAATTTCATGAGGCAAGGTCTCTCTGGGTGGTTCAGATAGGCCTTGAGTTGGTTGTCCTCTTGCTTTAGCCTCCCAAACAGCTGCCACACCAGGCCAGCTAATCCCTTGACATTCTCCATGTGTACTGGCTTAGAGCAAAATCAGGCAAGTAATCACTGCAGGCTTCTGTTGGACATTCTGTTGCAGTAAGAGTCAGTTCATTCACTGATTTTTCAATGAATTTTTCAGCTTCTAACCTAAATACAGACATTCTGTGTTCCTACTGTTTAATTTCTAAATCTAAAACAAGGGCACATATGTAGTAGGTATTTTGGGTTGCTTTACATGTATCTCTAAGTGGTTCCACATTGTCATAGTCACGGTTTTGATGATAATGTGATCTCTAGCTTCTTGATAGATTACTATGCAGTGCATCAGTGGAGGAAATGACCTAGCAAGCAACAATGAAGCGGCATGTCGCTGAGTGGTGTTTACGTAGTCAACATCAGCATTTCAGTGTTGATGAAAGTAATTCGTTGTTACACTGCTTGAAATAAGATTTGGAAAAAGAAGACCCGAGAATATGTTTGAAATACATTTCACTAAGGTGACAGAGTTTAAAATGCTCTTGGGCTTTGGATGTGCCATCAGCTAAGAGCAGGGCTAAAATAGGAGTTATCTGTCTGAGACTTAGAGTCTCGCTTAGCTCTGCTGCTTCCAGCAGTTGGACAGTGGCTGCATCCGCAGTGAGCACCCTTTTCCTGAGAGCTGATAGCTTTCTAAGTCCAGAAGTAAGCCATGATTTCCCCAGAAGGAACCCAGATTTTATGTTAATAATGCATTTAATTTTTTTTTGTTACAGACTATTCTTGTTCAGTCCTGGTATCCAATTACAGTGGCCACAAATTCAAGAGAGCAGAAGAAAATATTGGCCAAATACTTGTTAGAAACTTCTGGTAATTTAGATGGTCTGGAATACAAGTTACATGATTTTGGTTACAGAGGAGTCTCTTCGCAAGAGGTAAGAAACCAAAATGAATCTCATAGAGTACAATGTGAATTGTTGGTGGGTGCATTAGCCACTTCTGTTATTGTGAGGAAACATCATTATCAAAAGCAACAGACGGAAGAAAGTTTATGAGAGCCCGTCATGGCAGGGAGGTAGAGGTGTGACAGGAGGAGCAGGAAGCCAAGAGCTCACATTTTCAAATGCAAGCATGCAGCGGAGTGAGAAAACCAGAAGTGTCATAGGGCTTTCAACTCTTGAAGCCTCTTCCAATGACGTGCTTCCTCCAGCAAGGCTGCCCTTCCTAAACCTCCCCAAACACCACCGTGAGTTGGGGATGTCTGAGTCTATAGGGAGCTTTCTCATCCAAACCAAGGTGAGGGGCCACTGCCAGCTTCTCAGAATATCGCTGGACTGAACTTGCTTTAAGTAGGCCATTTCTTGCAACTCTGGAGTCTTAGTCAACAGGTAACTAAATACCTACTGTATGTTGTCTCACTACATGGAATATCCTCTAAATACTTGTTCCGGTTCTTTATATATTAGGTGGAGGGGTAGACGAACAAGTGCAGCACAAGTGTGGAGTAAAGCAGTTGCAATGGGGAATGGGATGAGACATGAGGTGTTAGCTCCTGTTTGAATTTTGGTTTGTGGTTGATCTTCCAGACTGCTGGCATAGGAGCCTCGGCTCATTTGGTTAACTTCAAAGGAACAGATACAGTGGCGGGAATTGCTCTAATTAAAAAATACTACGGAACAAAAGATCCTGTTCCAGGCTATTCTGTTCCAGCGGCAGAGCACAGGTAAAATTGAGTCTGTTCTCGTGTTAAATATTTGAAATCTTGCCTTGCATGCACAAGGCCCCTGATCCTCTCTGGCCCTGCAAACAAACAAAATTGCTTTCTAAAACTTGGTTTGAATTTGTTATGTGTAACTCAGCAACACCTTACTTGACAACAGAGCCAGATGCTAAATAAACTTTCATGGAATAAACAGTACAAACTGAGTACTTACACTTTTTATAAAGATTAATTACTATCAGGCAGGGCTAGATTTTGAACCACTCTAGTAAAAGAATCGAAGCACATTTCCCAACACTTGGTTTTATTTTAAGAAATGGTTTTTCATTTGCTGCATTGTATATACAGAGAGCTTTTTCTTCATTAGTGAAGTCTAGAAACACTGTAAGTACTGGTTACTTTCCCCGCTTTTCTTTGTGATCTCCCTGGGAAATTGTCTGGACCCAGTCAGTGTCTTCAATTCTAGATAAGTAGGCCATTTTAATGGAAAAGAAAGGGGGGTGTTCTGATTCTCTTGTGTTTACTTATTTACTCTTACTAAACGATCTCAAGGTACACTAGGAAATTATAATCCAGGTTGCAGCCTGTCTGGTTCTAGAGTCCCTTTATTGAAAGTAAATAGTGTAACTGGGCAGTGGTGGTACATGCCTTTAATCCCAGCACTTGGGAGCCAGAGGCAGGTGGATCTCTGTGTTTGAGGCCAGCCTGGTCTACAGAGTGAGTTCCAGAACAGCAAGCGCTACACAGAGAAACCCTATCTCAAAAAACCAAAAAAGACAGAAGAAAAGAAAGTAAACATGATATGTAGTAAATATATGTCAATCCTTGTTTCTGGTTCTTAGACCCATTTACTACAGTCATTCAGGAATGCTTAAAGTTCTTTATATGTTTGAGTATAGAATAAGCTGAGCTTTGTCACTCAGATGCATTTTAGCTCACCACCTTTGGTGTGCAAGGCCATCTGCTGGGTGCTGCAAGGGACAGAAAGATACAAAGCTGACCCCATCACTAGTAACAGTCTGCTCTGCTAAGAACTTTTATTTAAAGAAGTGTTCACAGTAGTCTCAAGGAATGCACTGACAGGATCAAAACAGCTTTTATAGAGACAGTGTGTGAAATCTTGACTTCTTGAGGGAATAATAAAATTTGATTGAGCATTTTTGAGTAGTACTTTTTCATATCTTATTATCTGCCAAGCATTATGAGGAGTGCATGTATGAGGAGTGTATGTATGAGAAGTGTACGTATGAGGAGTGTATGTATGCTTTAGGGGAATGAGAGCTGAAGCAGATATGTTAAAGTAGACTGAGAAGTCGGGTAAAGGTTAATTGATGAAGAGCCTGCAGGTTCATTTTCATGTGGAGCATTCACTGTGTACACATCATGCTGGCTTGTTTGTTTGTTTGTTTTTTAACACAGAGTCTCATGTAGCCCAAGCTGGCTTCAAACATAGTAATTTGAGCTCCGGATTCTCCTGCCTCCATTTCCCAGATGCTGTGGTTATATAGTCAGTTCTAGTTTACTATTAATTAGGCATTTCAGAAAGAAGTAGATCCCGAAGTTTTGAGCAAATGATATATTGGAAATAGCTTTTAGGTTGTTTTGATGGCAGGCAAGTAGAAAAACTAGAAGCTAGACTTTCTAGGAAATAGTGTAGGAAACAGTAGTCTTGAGAGGGGTAAGGTCCAGAGCTTGGTGGCAAAATGAATGGTAAGAAGTTTGATAAACATGAGATAAAATAGATTAATTGAAATGTGATTCAGAATAGATGTAGCTAATATTAAGGACATCGCTGTATGGTGAGACCCTTGGAATGATTTTTCATAAAAGTTTCAGCATTAAGAAACAAAAGTATGGGTGATAACTGATGAAAGTTATTTGAGTTTTTATTTGTCTATACCCTTATCTTTTAAAAATTTAATATAGCCGGGCGGTGGTGGCGCACGCCTTTAATCCCAGCACTCGGGAGGCAGAGCCAGGCGGATCTCTGTGAGTTCGAGGCCAGCCTGGGCTACCAAGTGAGTCCCAGGAAAGGCGCAAAGCTACACAGAGAAACCCTGTCTCGAAAAACCAAAAAAAAAAAAAATTAATATAATCAGTAGGCTGTCAGCTGAATAAGTGCTGAAGTAATAAGCGTGTGAGTATACCGTGAGTCTAAAAACAAGGAGCATCTCTTACGGCTTCGTCGTTAAATGAAAAGGACACTGTACGCATGCCCAGGGTGGCATTCTGGTGTATTTTATGATCTTATAATAGTTTCTGTATTTGACTGAAAGCATGCTTGACTTAACAGCTGACATGGGGGTGGCCTTGGGCTTATCATTTATCTCTGTTTCCTTCTGTTTCTCTGTCCAACCACACAAGAGGAGAAGCTACAGTTGTACAGCAGAAGGCCATCTGGGATCAATGCTAACATCTACAATAGCTCTAAACCATTACTGCTGTTGTAAATATTTCCTCAGAGAATCAGAGTCTGAAAATAAAAATAACTGAGTTACATTCGCTTTCCCCTCAGACTCTGGAAAGGTATCAAGCTAATCTGGTGACTGAAGTTGGTGTGGTGGCATCAGTCACTGAACAACCGAACACTTAGGAGCTCTCTTTAGAAACTGTCTTAGAAAATCGGGTGTTTGAATGATGCTATACAGAAGTCACAGAGGCTACGTCTGCAGGGTGGACAAAGTTCCAGTTTAACAGAGAACCAGATTCCCAGTTAGATGGAAGGAGAGAAAAAAGTGTCCAAGGGAGACTATGGAAGAGGAAGCAGGGAAATGAAATTCCAAAACATTGAAAGGTAGAAAGTAACGTTGCAGTCAAGGGAAAGAGAACATGCATCAGGACAGTTGAGCAACTGAGAACTAAAACCCACCTGATGACTGAAATTGACAGTGGTAATAGGCCTGTATACACAGATAGCAGCCTTAGGACTGTCGAGACAGACTTAGTCAATAGGAGCTATGTAAGTGATGACGTCTGACTGGAGAAGTTTGCTCCTACGTAGTGAGTCTCTCCAGGGTTGGTGGTCACTGAGGGATGACAGGAGCAGTAGTGATGACAGCACCCTTCTCTTCATCTGTGTCTTTCCCCATCGCATGCAGACAACTGCCTTGTAAGGAGAGCTGTCCCTATGATGTGACTTGTGTAAACAGACCTGTCCTGATTTCAGATGAGTGTAGTCTGGTAGTCCTAAAAGCCATTGGCAATAAGAACAGGTGTTGCTTCAGTCTTCCATGATAAAAAGAAAATATAAAGTGGCAGTGTCTGACTTAATATCAGGGGATGCCTAAGAAAACCAACCTAAAGGTTGAACAAAATATTGCTCCTGGTTTCAGAGGTTTGTCCTTGGTTACTTGGTCCTCTCACTGGGCCTGTGGCAAGGCAAGACCGAGCCATCGTGGTGAAGAAGAGCAGCGCAGGCTCATGTGCTCCCTTGTGGCAGCAAGGAAGCAGAAAAGGAGAAGGGACGAGGCTTCAGAGTGCCCTTCATGGGGCACCTCCAGTGACCTTTCTGCAAGTAGACCCCTGAGTGTCTACCACCTACCATTAGCACCAGTAACTGGGACTGAGCCTTCAGCACACGAGCACTTGGAGGACAGTCTAGATCAAAATTAGCAAGTTCTTTTAACCAGGTTTGAAGTAACCTTATAACTACGTAAGCTTTACAATAAATCGGGTAGGATAATCTACTTTGCATTATTTTGTTAGGGGAAAAGTCTAGAAAATTGGGGGAAAAGAAAAATGGATTGGCCAAAGGAAAATGGTAATAATATTTAAAGTTATATGTAATTGTGCTTAAGAATTTTTTAACTACTTACATTATATATTAATCAACAAAAATCTTATAATTAAACATTAATCCTTTTAGTAAAAAAATAAAATGAGGGCATTGCAAAATCGTAGTCATTCTTTCCTAATAGAAACTTTGTTTTGTTTTCTATCTTAAATTACATTATGCTCAAACTAACTGTTAAGATTCTTGTTCCTTGAACACATACTAATGAGTAAAGAACTTGTTAGGTAAACTGCGTCACTGCCTCTTACTGGACATTTTAAGATAGGTATAGTTATTTGACTGTATCTACTATGATTAAGTATAAATAATTGCTTTTAAGTATAAGATTTTGAAAAGTTAAAAAAGACAGATATATGTCTTGGTATACAGTTTCAGAAATTTGGTAGACAGTTCCAGAGATTCATAGAAAAGAACCAAGTGCTTGCCTTGCCTGGCAAAATGGAGTATTTTTCTAACATCCAGGCATGAAGTGGGGAAGGCTGCAGGCACTGACTTTGGTTAGGCTGAAGGATGCTGAAACAAAAACCAGTTTATAATTGGTTAACTATTGATTCGAGAGATAAGTGATAATAACTACTAAGCTGAATGTAGTTAACTTGTAGTGTTCAAAACAAATTGGCCAAGGAGTGGTTTGGCCCCGGTATTTTATTTGCTTTCTGATGTGCACTTATTAAACTGGATCCCTTCTCTGTGACAGTGGCGGTGTGGTATGGTGAAGAGGGTGGTTAATGATGCTTCAGACATAGGTCACCTGTCGGCCTGAGTAAATCTGTGTTTTCACTGTTTTCTAGTACCATAACGGCTTGGGGGAAGGACCGTGAGAAGGACGCTTTTGAACACATAGTGACACAGTTCTCGTCAGTGCCCGTGTCTGTGGTCAGTGACAGCTATGACATCTACAACGCCTGTGAGAAGATATGGGGCGAAGACCTGAGGCACTTGATAGTGTCGCGAAGTACAGAGGCGCCACTCGTCATCAGACCTGATTCCGGGAATCCGCTCGACACCGTGTTGAAGGTAAACTGTGATGTCTGTTGTTACATCATATGATGCCTGTGCACCAGCTGCTCCAGCACTTCCCATCTGTATACACATCATTTCAAGACTTTCTGGGAAAGCAGATTTGCCCAAGGTCACATATAATTGCAGAGAAAGGAAATAGAGGTTAATTTATTTATATATTGTCAAGTAGACAGTTAAAGGCCACTGAATACTTCCTTATGTGCCTTCAGAATTAATAGCATTACCATCTTAATCAGGCTTGTGCTTTAATCAGCTTATTTATGGTTTATCCCATTTATTAGAAATTGTTGTTACAACTTTGAAGTTGTTAGTACAGAAGGCGTATGTTCAGGGTAATAAAGAATGAAAATAATTCAAAACTGCTTTTTAAGTCATGCTTGACTAGGACTAGAACTGTCTAAGCAGAGCTGCCTTTTTAGTGCTCAGGGCTTGATTCGCCTGTTTTACAAAGTACTCATCCCAGCAGGAGTTAATTGATGCCTTCTATTAGAGAACTACTGTTTGGTGCTTTACACCGAAATGTTTTCCTTAATCTCACCAAAAAAAACAAAAACAAAAAAAAACCACCCTCTGGTGGCTCTTACCATCTCTGTTGTAAAGGGGGAAATGACCCACCAAGGTTGAGAAACATGGAAACAGCTTAGGCCTTCTGTCTGGAGCCTTCCTGTACAACTGCTTCAGCTAATGAGCAGATGGCTTGTCACTCACTCACTCACTCACTCGTAGGAAGTGGGGACATAGATTAAAGGTCTTTTTTAATTCTGTAAACAGCTCAGGCTCAGTGTCTTAGCCTGAAGTGTTTCACTTTTGACAAACTAAACAGCTTTTATATTTCCATTGTGATAGTTATAATAAAGAAAGTCATTTACATGGAATTTTACTAGGATCTTTAAGCAATTTATGTCAGGAAAGGGAGTGATTATTATGGGGAGGGGATGTGGCTGATAGGTCTTCTGTGTCCCTGATCAAGTTTTCCTGATCAAGTTCAAATCTGTGTTTAAGGGTTTGAGCTGTGATAAAATGGTGAGCAGCAGTCATTGCGTAGAGTGGCTCAAATATCACGCATGTTATCTTTAATGGAGTAAAGAGCTTTGGACAAACGACGTCGTGTATATGCCTCGTTTCCATCTTATTCTGATGGTTGCATTTTCTCTCAGCTTTGTGACTCAAATGTCAGACAAATGTAAATCAAACAGAACTGTTGGCCATAAGCAGAATAAGTCCAAATCAAAGGCATAATTATAAGTTTGTTGTGTCATACCTTCCATTCTTCTTTAAAGTATATGTTGTTTCAATATTAGGGATTTTCTTAATTGAATCTGCATAATGTGAAAGACGTGAAGGAAAAAAAGCCCATTTTGTGCTACTTTAATGATACAAATTGATGAAATAGAAAAGCACATACATTTTTCTAATGTGGTTAAAAGGCATTGGAACCAAATTTCAGAGAGGTGTATATGTGGTTTAAGATTATTTAAGTAGTTGAATTTTTGTATTCTCAAAATTATTTAATAAGGAAAAATAATTCTTAGCTTGGGAAGCCCTCCCCTCCATTTTAGTTACTTGTGTCTTGTTTTTTTCATGCAGGTCTTAGATATTTTAGGCAAGAAGTTTCCTGTCACTGAGAACTCAAAGGGCTACAAGTTGTTACCACCATATCTGAGAGTCATTCAGGGAGACGGAGTGGATATCAACACTTTACAGGAGGTAATGTATTTCCATGAATCTCACAGTAAGGAAATCCCCATTCTTGAAAGAGCTCCTTTTTATTCATAAGTAGCCCATTAAAATTTAAATATAATTGTGAATCTTATTTGGAATATTTTTTATGGTAAATGCCTTTGGTGTTTAGAAATAATAGTAGCTTAAAATACAGAAATACCAGCCAATGCATACTCTCCAGGCCTCAGTAGCCACCTACTGAGGTAGAAATACCTGTCGTGTTTCTAAAGAGAAACAGAATAAAGGCTTTTTTGTTCAAGGAACTCAAAGTACGTATAAGAGTTGTCAACATGACACAATCTAGAGTCACTTGGGAACAGAGTCTCAGTGAAGGATTATCTAGATCAGGTGGTCTGTGAACTCGCAGGGGTGGCGTGGGGCATTGTTCTAGACCCCCCCACCCTCAGCTACCTTTCTCAGTACCACCCACCTCTCTGGAAATGGCACTGTTCACAGTGGGCTGGGCCTCCCTGCATCCGTTAGCAATTAAGAAAATGCCCCTCAGACACGACGCTAGCCAGTGTGATCTGAGCAGTTCTTCAGTTGAAGTTCTCTCTCCCTGTGACTCCAGGCTTGTGTCAGGCTGACAGCTGAAGCTAACCTGTATGTGACAAGTAGTCCTCTGTTGATGCACTCATGGGTATAGGAAGAATATCTTAAACTGACTCTCAAAGCCAAGCAGTTTGGGGAAGTAGGGGGAAGAAACCCATACATGGAGGACAGTACTTGACTTTTTCACGTTGGAAATTAGTCATATATGGTTTTAGAAACAGGAAAAGCAATTCATCTTAACAGTTTCCCTCCATATATGTTAATCAGAGTCCTTAATTTTGATAATGGAGGGGTACTTTATTTCACAAACCATCTTCTTTCCTTGACTGCCAGCCTCACTCTTAGATTTCTCTGTCAGTGTTTACTGTCCTCGTGCAGCATGCTGCTCTAACTTCTGCTGTGAACCAGAACAAATCTGCCTAAGAAAAGAGGCAAAACAGTCTCATTCCTGAGACAAAATACAGTGTCCTGTTTCTGTTGGTGTCCTGGGGACTTGATTTCCTTGGGTACTATTAGACTCTCTCCATCAGAATGACTCATTGATGTCATTAAAATAGCACTGACTCCTCAAAGTCCATAAAAAGGAGGATTTCTTTGCCGTCTAACAGATTTCCAAAGCTTTTATTCTCACGTTGTTCTATCTTGCAATCAGGTCAGTGCAGCTTTCCCTTCCCGTCAGCTGTCCTGCACCCTTATCTTGAAACCCTTCTGTCTTCATCCCTTGTATGTTTCTTCTATGAATCACAACTGGGATTCAGAAGCTTGCTAGAAAACACTGATTTTATGTAAATGTTACGAACAAATTACTTTGGACCTACATAAAGACGTAATATGTGAAAAGCACTTGCTCACTGGAGCACGGTTCATACAAGTGATGGTAACAGATAATTCAGTCTAAGGGCGCCTCAGCTAAGCAGACGCATGGACTACAAAGATGGATTATGCAGTAATAGTGACAGTTTGTCCATCTACTTCTCCCTTGACTTCTTTTTTCTTCTGATTTGTTTGTGAGTGATTTTTGACTTGTTCTACAGTGGAAAAGATGGAGCTGATACACCATGGTGTGAGGCTCTCCTTTCCATTCTTGCACATCTGGTGGTGGGTCTGAAGCTATTTGATCTCCATGTGCCTGTCCCTGGGAAGTGGAAGGTGGGGACTCTTTGTGACCACCTCAGGAGACAAGAAGGTAGTTCAGTTCAAAACAACTAAGTAGCCAGTGTTGATTCAGACATCAAGAGTTTGATCCCAAGTACTTTATTTTAGGAATATCTGAGACGGCACAATTTGGGGAATTTTTTTTCTGGTGATAAATAGCTCAATCCTGTGTGCACAATAAAGCCTAAGACATTTTCTTATTTTGGTTTTTTGAGACAGGGTTTCTCTATGTAGCTTTTCGCCTTTCCTGGAACTCACTCTGTAGCCCAGGCTGGCCTTGAACTCACAGAGATCCACCTGCCTCTGCCTCCCGAGTGCTGGGATTAAAGGCATGCACCATCAGCGCACAGCAAGACATTCTTTATAAAGTACATGTGACAGCTTCCATAAAGATGGGGTCTGTAGGCCGGGCGGTGGTGGCGCACGCCTTTAATCCCAGCACTCGGGAGGCAGAGCCAGGCGGATCGCTGTGAGTTCGAGGCCAGCCTGGGCTACCAAGTGAGTTCCAGGAAAGGCGCAAAGCTACACAGAGAAACCCTGTCTCGAAAAACCAAAAAAAAAAAAAAAAAAAAAAAAAGATGGGGTCTGTAGATTGGCAAGCTGTGGCCACACAGATAGTGCAAAGGTCACTAAGCTATTAACCACATCTGCTCCTAGCCTTCTGGGTAGAAAGCAGGTTATGTATCTCTCCCTTTGAAGAGACAGTCCTGTACGTTTACATTCCTGATTCCCCTAGTGCTTGTCTGTGAGCACAAGAATCCCCATTCCTCCCGCAGGGCACTGTAATAGACACAAGACAAGATGTGTATAAAACCTAAAGGAATCACTTTAAAATAAACTGTGTTTTACCTTATTATTCTCATTGAAAAACATATTTTGGTTTAAAAAGAAAAACAAACACACAGAGACACCCACAAGATTTAGATAGTTGGAATTTTAAATTTTGCAAATGATTGCATTTGCCAGTGTTGGATTATTAGCACATGATGATATTTGGGGTTTGATTCCTTTAAAGATCAATTTGAGGTTTAGTATGGGAGAGAATGTGTAAATGATTCACTTTAAAGCCATAACTGGCCTCCACCTTAATCACTTTGGAAATTCTTTTTAAATAGAACGTTTAAAGAAAACATGGCTTTTCATAAAATTCAAAAAACAATAAATTTCACTTATTGTTTCTATTGTGAAAGTGATTGGCTTTGTTTGTAAAATTAGAGATACATGATTGGTCAATAAACCCCATGTAGAGAAACATAAAGGACACTGATAACAGGGCTTCACTGTAGTTTTTAAATTCTGCGTCTCTGGACAGAACTGTGCCATACAGGTCTCGCCAGCTGGCTCATAATCATCCTTTCCCAGTGAGCCAGTCAAATCATAGCATTTAAAGTGTCAAGCATAATTTTGTTTATGCACTGGATACCAGGCAGGTTGAATTGACTCTGCCACTGTCACTATTGTTAGGTACAAGTGAGTATTATATGCTCCTGTCCATAACTTCTGACCTGTGCCATATAGTAACTGTTGCATGTAGTAACGCTGTGCACTGTGATGTTTTTGTGACGGTTAGAATCCCTACAGTCTACTAATTTGGGGCAAGTATTTCAGCTTCTGTTGCTGGCATTGGGCAGTAGCTCTGAGGTAGCTGGGAGAGCTCACGAAGCCTCGGGTATACGTAGCCAGTTTTCTTGTTCCTTCACTCTCAACCTGAGTGCACTGACCACTGTACACTGAAATTCTGCAGGTGGACCCCCCTTCCACATACCCATTGTAACCTGAGTGGGTCTTTAAAAAGAAAATGTGTACTATTACCTGCCTAGGCGTATCTTAAGTATTGACTGATACAAAACAACTGTAGGAGTTCATAGGAGTTCAATGCCGTTTGAAAATAACCTCCATTGTCTTCCAGATCATTTGTTTGCTTGTTTTTAATCTAGATTGTAGAGGGAATGAAACAAAAAAAGTGGAGTATCGAGAATGTCTCCTTTGGTTCTGGCGGAGCTCTGCTGCAGAAGTTAACAAGAGACCTCTTGAATTGCTCCTTCAAGTGCAGCTATGTTGTGACCAATGGCCTTGGGGTAGGTCCTTCAGCTTCCTTCTCATGTTAACGAGTGCAGTAGTCAAAGGACAGTGTGCTGCTGGGCTGTCAGGTGTGGATGGGTGCTGCCCAAGAAAGAGGTCAGGTAGTAACAGAAGAGATCTGGGAACCAGTAACTGATTTAAGACAGAGAGTGTAGTCAGTCATTGCCATTGATTTGGTATATACCTTTTTATCACGAAGTTGGTTCTGTTTAGGTAAGATTATCAGCTAGCCTGGCTATCATATACTGAAACTAATCAAGTATGTAATAATCACTGTCAGTATCTTACTACAAGCATAGAGTTTGAGCTTCTGATTTTGATGCTAGAATCATGTTCAGTAGCCATAGTATAGTTGGGCAGTAATCCCTTTCAAATCTTTCATAGCCTCTTAAAGGCTGAATAGTGTGTGTGGAGTAGGGGTCAGAGAAAGCCAAGAACCCTGAAGAATGGAGCAGGCAAGATGTCTCAGCAGACAAAGGCACTTCCCATGCAAGCCTGGCAACCGGAGTTCAATCCCCAGAACCCACCTAAAGGTGAAGGAGAGAACCAGCTCCAAAGCTGGACTTTGACCACCTTCACGCACATGCACACAGTGGTTATAAATAAAAACCCTGAAGGAAGCCTGGGCACTGTCGTCCACCTTTGGAGAACCACAGACTGCCTTATCTTCGCTCCTGCTCTTCCAGGCCACTGCCATCTATTAGTGTTTTGCCTACTACCTTTCTGGTTCTAGAATAAACGTAGTACTATCTTCAGATTCTTTAAGTCTTTTGTTGTTACTGTCCTGAGTTAGGGTCTTGCAGTGTGGTGCTGGCTGGATTCGAATTTGTAGAAGACCTCTTGTCTGTGCTTCCTACGTGCTGGGCTTACAGGCTTGTCCCACCATACCCAGCAGGTTCCCCAAGCCTTGGTCCTTTGTGTCAATCCAGCACCTCACCTCGTGGCTGTGTCCCCAGCCTGTTACTGGGTAAAGGAAGCAGTGAAAGGACAGGCTTGTGGAACAAGAGCGTCTTTATCTTAAATACTCTGGTTCTCTATACAGTATGTAAAGACGTGTGTGTTTATAGTTTGTGACGTAAGAGCCACATGGTACGTTTCTCCAAATCACCCTGTAAAAGATAACTAAGATTTGGGTTTCCATAGCATGACAGTTTTGAAGGAGAACAGGCTAATTAATGAGTTCTATTTCTAACAGTCAGTTGTGAAGTAATATAATTCTACATGCAACACTGTAGACATTTTAAGCTTGTATGTAATACACTTAAAAAAAAAACTGGTTCTAGCTATGGATCTAACCAACCTTGTGTGCAGCATTGAGCTGTATACATGTGTTTAGAGACATTTGGTGTATGATGATTTACCATTTTTCTCTTAATTGTGATTTCAGGTTAACGTCTTTAAGGACCCAGTTGCTGATCCCAACAAAAGGTCAAAAAAGGGCCGGTTATCTTTACACAGGACACCCGCAGGGAACTTCGTTACCCTTGAAGAAGGAAAAGGAGACCTTGAGGAATATGGCCACGTGAGTATCCATTGACTAGAGTTTTTAATGGGAGTAAACTGGCTTTTCAAATACGAAAAGAGAGTTTTGTGTTATACTTTCAAATGGCTTTCAGAACAGTTTTGTGACATTTAATTTTTTTTTTTTTTCACATAGTGGCGAACATGATAGATACTGATGGTAATGGGCTTTTGTGTATTTGGTCTTAATCTTACTGTTAGCTCTCTGGGGAGAAGCATAGCAAATTATACTTTTTAAATGTTGCTCTTCGACACTATAACTCTGTTAGAGTAAAATATTATAATTTTATAATGGATGGACTACCAAATTCCAAACTGTTTGAAGGGAATTGTTTCTTTAGAACTTAGTAATAATCATTTCAGAAGGTTTTCTTTGGTCTTATTTGATTATCTCATGGAATTCTGAGCTTAAAACAAACAAAAAAAAAGCAAATTGTCTTAGCATAGAAATAGAGTGGGTTGATTCAGATTACATAACTAACAGATGGTAAAGCCATAACTGAGTTTTCTTATTCTAGTTAACCAAACTGGGAGGAACATATAGTTTGTATGCTGAAGTAGGCCATGTGATCTGATGGTTTTCAGCACAAGTATACTTAAGTTTGTGTGCTCAGAAGTGAAAAGATACTGATCTCTGAGCCACTAGATGGGAGAGGGATTCAGTTTGAGAGGAAGGCTTCTCTTGAGTGTCTTACGTTCTTCAGAAATAAACCCCCAGCTGGTTCTCTGACAATGCTTTGATGACACTGTGCAAATATGACTGCTTACGAAAAAGGTATTTCCTTATGTCTTTCAAGGTTTGGGACGGGAATTAATAAAATAATCTTTCTATGAAAACTGTGAACTTGTAGATCAGACTTTTAGAATGAAATCTCTTTATCAGTTTTTGAGCAGTTTCACATAACAATTGGAGCTCCAAGGTTATGCTGAGTGGGGTCATCTCGAGTGGAGCAAAGCCAGTTGAGACTAATTCAGAGGAGACATGGATTTGAACAGTGCTCGAACACTTGTCCAGTCAGGAGTATGCTGGTGATCTCTGATCATAGAAACAGCTTGGTTAAGAGATAAGAACCAACATTCCCTGGTAGTTGATATTGAAATTTATAAAAGAAAATGCTACATCTAGGTGCAATTTAGAGCATATAAGATACCAGTTAATGTTATGTGTACTATAAGAAAAAAAATGAATTTCAATAGATTTTTCATATAGAAACTAATTCAGTCCTCATCCTCTGTTGATGTTTTTCCATGACTTTGCAGCTACAATCTTTGTGTAACTCAGTCACTATAAATGAGACCCAAAAAAATCAATGCCTGTTTTTCTGTGTTTCTGTCTTGGGTTTGGTTTTTAGATTTTATCATTTTTTTAAGGACAAAACTTAATGGCTAACAAATTTATTAAACTTCTAGATGGACCAGTCTAAGCAGTGTTGAGGCTGTTGGCCAGGCTCTGGAGGGATAATTTAGCAGGGACAGTTGTAGTTCTCTGAAGCAAACATGTTTCTTCAATAGTACAAAGGCTGAGGTGCCTAGTGTTTTGTTACTTCTTTTAAGAAAACTGGCCTGAGAATTTTTATCGTAATCTCACTGTTGTAAGTGGACACTCTGAACAGCTTTGTGTGTTTGACCTCTTAGGTAAATTGGTCAAAGCACAATTCAAAGGTTTGATGGTCTTTTTAATGACAAAATTTACATCCTGCAGGATCTTCTCCATACGGTTTTCAAGAATGGGAAGGTGACAAAAAGCTATTCATTTGATGAAGTCAGAAAAAACGCGCAGCTGAACATCGAGCAGGACGTGGCACCTCACTAGGCCTGGTTGTTTGTGCAGTGTGTGTGTACATACGTGCACTATGTGTGTGCTTGTGTGTATGGAGTAACATGTTCGTTGTACAGATGTGTGGGTTTGTGTTTATGATACTTTACAGCCAGATTATTTGTTGGTTTATGGACATACTGCCGTTTTTATTTTCTTTTCCCCAATGTGTAGATGATCTCAAATTAGGAAATACTTATAACCATGTACAAGATTAATGCTAAAGTAAGCTTTTTAGGGCCCTTTGCTAATAGATAGTAACTCGATCTGCTGTTGACCTTTTCACAAATCACAGAATCAAGAAACTTTTATATATAACTACAGATCACATAAAACAGATTTGCATAAAATTACCATGACTGCTTTATGTTTATATTTAACTTGTATTTTTGTACAAACGAGATTGTGTAAGATATATTTAAAGTTTCAGTGATTTAACAGTCTGTTTCCAACTTTTCATGATTTTTATGAGCACAGACTTTCAAGAAAATACTTGAAAATAAATTACATTGCCTTTTGTCCATTAATCAGCAAATAAAACATGGCCTTAACAAAGTTGTTTGTGTTATTGTACATTTGGAAATTATGTCAGGACATATACCCAACAGAATTACTAACCTCACTGCCCTTATAGAGTATGCGTCAGTCATTCTACATTGAAGAGAATTATGGTTCTTACTCGGATGTCTAGGCATTGTACAGTTCTATTCCTTGGTCATTGTATTGTACCAGTGAAATGCCAAATTCGAAAGGCCTGTTCTGCAATTTTGTATGTCAGATATTGCCTGTGGCTCTAATATGCACCTCAAGATTTTAAGAAGATAATGTTTTTAGAGAGAATTTCTGCTTCCACTACAGAATATATACATAAATGTAAACTATTGAAAGTGGAAGTAGTGTATTTTAAAGGAATTACACTTCTGAATTTATTTTTCATATTCTATAGTTGGTATGACTTAAATGAATTGCTGGAGTGGGTAGCGAGTATACTTATTTTAAATGTTTTGATTCTGTTATATTTTCATTAAGCTTTTAAAAAATTAAATTGGATATTAAACTGTATGGACATCATTTATTAATTTTAAATTAAACCCTCAATAACTAATATGTAAGCAAGTTCTTGATGTTACCCCCAGTGGAAAGCACAATTCTTAATCGAAGGATCTATCTTCATCGGAAATGTAGCTGAATTTACAATATCCACCATCACAGTGTCCATAGTGATTTACTGCTAGACCCTGAGTCGGCCATTGCATCCAACTAGACACTTCGAGGTGACTCCTGACACTGGGTCAGTCCTAAGGTGGGGTGGGCCAGCTGCCTGCAGGCCAGCTTGGCACTGCTCCTTCATTTTAATGCCATACTCTCTAAGGCTGCCTCCCACTGCAGTGGCAGAGATTGAGTAGTTGCAATTGAGACCAAATAGTCCTCAAAGCCTGGAATGTTCACTTCATGTTCACTGAACACAAGCAGAAAGCTCGATAGCCTGTTTTCTAAGAAAAGGAGCATGCCTTTGCATTTTAAGAGAGATGTTGGTTTTTCTGGGAAGGAAGGAAGCTGAATTTTATGGAGTTTCTATTGTTCTTTCTCATTTAAGAATCTGATACTAGAAAACTGATTTTGAAAAGTTTTAACAACTTGCCGTTACGATGAAATTTTAAAAGTCATCTAAAACAGTTACACGAGAGCATATCACTAATCTGATGAAGTGAGTTCAAGGTTTTTGCAAGTGATCCTAAAACTTAAGGATAACAGAAAGCTTAGTAATCCTTATCCTATAATACATGGCAAAAAAAAATTATCTTAAACTGACCTTAAAAAAAATAAAATGTAATTTCAGTAGTCTCAGCATGGTGTGGTGCATGCCTGTAATCTCAGAACCGAAGCAGAGACAGAGGATCAGAAATCAACATCATCCTGGACTACATAACAAATTCCAGGCTAGCCTGGGCTACCTGAGACCTTGAGAAAATTAAAATGTACCTAAGATTAGTAGTACTAAAAAGACATGTCCTGGGTGGGTATCGTAGTAGGCAGAGGTAATCCCAGTACTTGAGAGGGATCCTCCCCAATACACAGGATTATTGTTCAAAACCAGTCTGAGCTATGTAGACCCTTGTCTCTGCTCCCAGAAAGGAGAGGCACAGCATCACAGAATGCTACAAGGCCTAGAGAGCACTACACAAAACTGCCATTGGTGTCATGCTAAGCAGTGTTTTTCTTCTGTGACTTCAAACAGCTCCACGTGCCAGTTTTATCTTGAAATATTTAGTGAAAACTAGAAGTCAACATTTGTGCACAGGGGTCCAGAAGTGGAATGAGTAATTTCTCTTGGCTCTGGTCCCCTTGGAAGTGATGAATTTTGAATTTCCATCACTAAGCAGTATTTGACCATCTCCATTCTGAGTACCAAATGGTTGACATAAATGTCAAATGGAATAGTGCCGTGTGTCCCCTTAGATTGGCTAACCCTTCCTTCCTGACTAAAGCAAGTGACATATACAGACTTAGACACTAGATCTGCAGTTGACAGTAGTTAGTTCCCCTCAATTCATAACTTTTAGTAGGAAGTAGAATTTTGTGTTAAGACTTATTTGTACCCTATATTTAAAGTAAAAACTTTTTATGAGTAGCCCCTTCTTGAAACAAACTGTTAGGAAAAAAAGCTTTTATAGTGAAATCCATCTTGGAAAATTAGAGAAAAATAGCAAGGTATTTGTTGTTGTATTTACCATAACTTAGAATTCACTTAAACTAGTATTTTGTAGTTTTACATTCCTTTTTAACCCATCCAGTGGAGAATAGCAAATTTTCTCCCAAGTTGTATGTTAAGTCAATTCTAATATGTACTCAGCATCAAAGACAACATGTAATAAACATGGAAATAAAGTTTAGTTCTGTTAGTGAAATGTTAAATTTGACTGTGTGTGTCAAATAATGCCATTCCCAAACCTACCTCTTCTAGGTATTTCTCCAAAGAATTGGAGGATGAGAGAGGAGGGTTCGCTGAGGATTGCTCCGGTTTTCTGCCTTCAGCAGCTCTGGATGGCAGTACCGTTATTTATTAAGAGTGCTGGGGGGCAGAGTGGGGGGGGGCGTTTAGGTCCATGGGACTTGGAGACATTGAAATGCAAAGAATGAATAAGTATCTGGAGAACACAGGGTTGGAGACAGAAGGGCCCCTCCAGGCATGGGTAAGGGGTGTGTGTGTGTGTGTGTGTGTGTGTGTGTGTGTTTAGGAGTGGGGGGTGGGGTATGTAGGTGTTCACTGGAGGCACAGTGAAGGAGACAGACCTGGAGAGTGAGTGTGGACCAGTGGTTGGCACACACACACCACAGACCAAATCCAGCCCACCATCTGGTTTGTAGATAACTTCATTGAAACATAGCCCTAGCCAGTCATTTAGTTATGGTCATCGTTGTTTTCCTGCTACGGTGGCAGGGTTGAGTAGTTGAAGCACAAGCTAGAGCTGGCAAAGCTGAAATAGTCCACTACCTTCCATTTTCCAGAAAAGGCATATCAAGCTAACGAAGAAGGACCCAAGACCAACTGGCATTGAACTCTTGAAGGTTAAGTGGCAGAGCATAAGCAAGCAAAGGATGCTTACTGGCCAGATCAGCTAAAGAGAAAGGAAACGTGAGAACACATATACGGGAAAGCTTTATCTGGAGAGATGGCTTACTAGGTTAAAAAAAAAAAAAAAAAAAAAAAGCTTGCTGCACAGGCATTGGGACCCAAGTTCAAATCCCCAGCACCCAGAAAAAGCTGGGCAAGTTGGGCATGTGCCTGTGATCCCATCATTGAGGTGGGGGAAGCAGAGCTTGCTGGATGGCCAGCTGGGGCAGCTAATTAGGAAGTTCAGGTACAGTCAGAAACTTCGATGTATTCCATTCTTAAGCTCCTGAAGTAGTCATTTCATAAGCACGTAGATGAGAAGGAAAACTGGCATTATTTGTCCAAGGTTACCTTTGTATGTAGTTCAGTAGTTTCTAACTTTCAAGTCACACGCTCAGGATTTAACCTTCTATGAAAGTTCTTGTTTGTGAATCTACACCATTTACATACTCCAAGCTTCCTAGTCCACTGATGCCGCAGGTCATGGCTGTTAGGGTTGGAAAACAAGTTCCAGGGAAAGCAAGAGATCCAGAAGCAGACAGGTGTGCTTTGGGATCTCGGCACTGGAAGGTACGGCTGGACGGTGCTGAGTTCAGGGCCATACCTAATGATGTCCTGTCTAAACCCCCCTTCCCAAAAGGAAAGGACTCCTACTCAGTGGGGTGGGAATACTAGAAACACCTGGCATCTGTGTGAGCCAGCAATACCAAGCTTGTGTGTGATAATTTTCTGAGTACTGAGCTAGCAAGAAAGAAATGACCAGACCAGAAAGTACAGATGGAAGGTCATGAAACAGAAAAACACTTTTGTCCAGGAATGTTCACCAAAGTGGGGACTGTGAACTCAGTTGTGTGGGCCAGGGTGGACATGATGGACAGAGGTGCTGCTCCAGTGCTGGCTGCCCAAGTCCGCCCTTCAGGACAGGTGAGCTAGCCCCTGGGAAGTCCCCATGTTTACCCTTCAGGGTGAAGGTGATCCAGCAGAACCTCCAGTCCCTGGAGCACTCAGAGAAAAGCTGCTTATACTCAGAAGATAATTTTAAAAAACAAATAAAAACCCTTAAGTCGCCATTGCAGTCCAAATCACAGTCCTGCGTATATGAGATCAGACTGAGAACACCGGTTAAACTAAAGGGCAGAAGCCCTTACAGGATGGTAGAAATAGAAGCATAACCTCAGTGAGCTGTCACAGTAATGATCTAAGAAATGAACAGCTCACAATAGTTGCACAATACCATGAACAAACACGGGGACCGCAGACACTAGTTAGGAGACAGATTAGTACGTTCTTTAAACATTTTTTGAAAATCACTTTGAAACATGCCAAGGATCGAATTTTAAATGATACAATATTTGAAAGGAGGATTGATAGAATGAGCATTTAAAAATGCAAAAGCTGTATACAGAGGGACCAGTGGCTTGGAAGGTGGGTCCCAAGGAATTGTTCAGCACAGAAAGTAGTGCAAGTTAAGCAAATAAAAACTGAAAAAGTCCCAGCATTGGTCTTAGGAGTGTTCTAGAAGCAGAGAAAACAGGGTAAAAGATACAGTTTAAGAAATTAGACTTCGGGGCTGGAGAGATGGCTCAGCGGTTAAGAGCTCTAGCTGTTCTTCCAGAGGTCCTGAGTTTAATTCCCAGCAACCACATGGTGGCTCACAACCATCTGTAATGAAATCTGGTGCCCTCTTCTGGCCTGAAGGGACACATGCAGGCAGAACACTGTATATGTAATAAATAAATAAATCTTTAAAAAAAAAAAAAAAAAGAAAAGAAATTAGACTTCGCCGGGTGGTGGTGGCGCATGCCTTAGAGCCAGGCGGATCTCTGTGAGTTCGAGGCCAGCCTGTCGCCTCGAAGTGAGTTCCAGGACAGGCGCAAAACTACAGAGAAACCCTGTCTCGGAATAAAAAAAAAAAAAGAAAGAAAGAAAGAAATTAGACTTCAGCAGAAAATAGTATACAGTACTGACAACATACACACATATATGTAGCACACAATGATACACAAAACAGGCCAAAGTAACAATAAATACATGCAGCTACCTGATTCTTGACAAGTGCCAACACAGTGAAGAAAATAGTACTGGAAAATGGGGTGCACATGTGTAGAAAAATAAAATGAGCCATATTACCCATTCTGTATCAAAATAAACACCAGAAGAAGTGGGCACAGGCATTAAGTAGGACTCCAGAACAATAGCAAGGATTGCAAGGGGCCTGCAGAGTGGAGCTCTTAGCTGTTCATCTAACCAGGAAATTAGTGTCCAGAATACACAAAGAACTCAAAAAATAAGACAACTCCCAGAAAAGTAAGAATTAAACAGACTTCTCAAAAGAGTAGAAATCGCTAATAAATAAATGCATGGGGAAAAGAATATTCTCAGCCATCAGGCAAATACAAATTGAAACCAGTGAGACTCCATCTCATCCCACTCAGAATGGTTATTATCAAGGATATAGTGACAGGTGCTGGGCTAGAGGGGAAAGGGGGAGCCCTTGTACACTGGGAGTGTAAGTGCGGCCACTATGGGAGGCAGTATGGAGGGTTTTTAAATAGAAATAGCCACTCCTGGGTATATACTTAAGTCACCATCATTATTAAAAAGTCTGTGCACACTTAAGTTTATCGCTGCACTGTTTGCAATAGCCCAGTTAGGTGTCCTTTAACAGCCCGTGTGGTCTAGATCCACAGTAGCTTTTGATTCAGTCGTAAAGAACAACCAAGAGCCTTTGAGGAAAATGGATACAGCTGAAGACCATCGTGTGAAGTACAGTAGTCAGGCTTGGACGATAGTGAAAGTTCTTAATCATTTACAGAACCTGTTTCTAAGATATGAGTGCAGAAGGGGGGCTGCTTAGGACAAGGAACGGGAGGGTAATAGGAATGGTTGAATAGAATGAAAGTTCATGTATACATCTGGAAAATGTCTTAATGAAGGCTGAAATAGAAGTATATAAATTGGCCCAGCTTGGGATACATAGTGAAGCCCTGTCTTGAAAGCCCTTATTTTGTACAACTAATACATGCTTATTTTTCATATGACCTTGGGATTCACCTGAACTGGGGAAAGCAACCATCTAATGATCAAATCTCAATGAATCCTTTGCAAAATCGGCTACATCCAGACAGGAGAGTGAAACTGCAAGCCTGGAATAACAGGGCGTGTACAGATTTGATCAAAGCCATTATTAACAGTCATGAAAATGTATAAACCCATTATTTCATATACCTGCTAATAAAAATATGAGGGAAAGCCAGAACAAAACATGATGTTCTAAGGAAAAAGATAAGCCCTGCCTCAACAACACCAGTAGATGCCAGTGTCTGAAAGGAAAGTCATCCCCAAGACAACCTTGTTGCCACTAAAACAGTTTCAAGAGTACAGATAAACTGAGTTCTGATACAATACTGAAAACTGAAATTCTGCATGCCACCGTTTCAGAACATTCTAAGGGATAAGAAGAAAGCAGTGAGCAGGGTAGAGACGGCTCGGCCGACGCTGACTGTGAAACAGTGGTGACTAGGAATGTGGACAGGATTTAAAGTAAGCAGGACTTACACCAGGAAAGCATAAATCAGGAGCAACATAAGTGGAACTGGATTCTGAAGTGCTCTGGCTATCAGGAGAGTGGCTAAAGCTATTGGTCAATTTTAGACCACGATAAACATGTACATATTGAACGAAGCGACGTGGAAGTAAGTATATTGCTTTCAGACTCACAAGCAAAGGTCAAATGTGTATATGGCTTTTGAAATAAATGAGAAAAGCAAGTGGAACGATGAGCAAAATAAGCAAGATGAACTGTGAGCTGTGTGCACACTGTGTGGACCATCTGTATCCTAAACACGTGAATCCAAAAGACAGAAGCAGCCCATTTGCCACTTACAAAAGTCCTATCTAAAACAAGGTTGGAAGCATTTTTAAAGGAACAACTGATTGGAAGTCGTAGCTGTACTCTTTCTCGTGATCACATGACTTGTGTGTTCAGGATTTCTGACATCACTCATCCCCAGAACAGTGTGCGAGCAAGGTGTGGCACCGAAAAGGAACAGAGCATTCCAACACCAGGCTGTGGCGTACTTACCAAGCCTTGGGGAAAACGAAGCTTCAGACAGTGCTCTTCTCAGATGAGCCATGTTTGGAAATGTCAGGTTAGTCAGTGCAGGAAAGATGCAGTCTGAGACACTGCCTGCTCTTGGTCGTTTTCCTGATTCTCAGGCTTCAGATGTCTGTTTCTCACATCCATTTCTGAATTTGTCTGGAGTCTTGGTGAATTACCCTTTCATTGATAGGTGGAGGG